GAGAACATATCTACCAAAATGCGGGTCATTTAAGTAATTATGCTTTGGTAGAAATTTACTCATGCTATCTATTTTTTGGTTACATAAAAATATTGCATTTGCAAAACTTCTGGCAAAATTTATTTATTTAACGGCCCACTGCCCGACCAATCAAGTCTGTATGACTTGTTACTGATAGACAATTCTCATCAAAAGTACTTGATGATTTTGCATATTTTTCGAGATCAATGAAAACATCTCACATCCCATATGAAAATAAGATCTCAGTAAAACTCACATCTAAAAGAATATAGATGGTGAATATTATATCTACTATGCGCCCACGTATATGTAATTATTTTTCGTGGGATTATGCAATATTGCAAGCACTCTTACACATTTGTTTTTTAGACCGATAGTAGACAACCGTTTTTGTGTATACTTGTTGGTGACTGTATCTTAACCTGAGATGTTCTACTTATACATATATATGGTTGTTAACTGATTGTGCCTCCCACAACACATTATAACCGGTTTAAAAGACAAATGACGGTTATGTTGGATATGAATCCCCAACAACAATCCGCTACTAGCCTTAACAAATAATGTGTATACCGCTAAGCGGAATGTCACCTTGATCAGACAATCGATTTTCCTTTCATTAGGGGGAGAAAATAGAGAATTCTCAAATCCTCTAATTGAATGATAGGAATCATTATGGTGCATCCATACCATTTGTTTTCTAAGCTTCAAAATGTTATATTGAAGTAAAGGTGACTATCTATCGCCATAAGCGACTTAAGTGACCATATCACATACACTAGTTGCAAATAAATTTGTAAGACTTGAAATTCAAATTAAAAGATACAACGCTAAAGGATATTGCAAATAAATTTGTAAGACTTGTTATATTGAAATAAAGCATTGCAACCACAAACAATGGGGTTGTGGTTGAGGTCGTGGCTATCTAAAGGAGTAGAGGGAAGTCACATGGTTCGATTAATTAGACACCCCAAGTAGTAAGGGTATATAAGACACAAATCAATATACTCGTCATCATATGAATTCCTCTCATGAGATTATTTCTGACTAAGCATGTTCATGAATCAATAATGGGGGACGCCCTGAAGTTTAAATGATTTCAAAGAATTAAAATATCAATGTTAATGAGAGTGTGTATGAGTCGAATGATAGACCTTACACAAAAACTGATGATATATTTATACGGTTGCTCAAAGGAGCATAGACCACGATGATATCAAACCATACTCTATTGCAATATGAAAGCAATGAGAATATTGGCCTAAATGTGTAAAAGTAATCCATGTATAAATTTAATATTTGACAAAGAGACAAGTATTTGGTATGATAGTGCTAATCAACCAAGTGTAAAGCCTGTAGGAGATGAAATAATTCTTGTTTAGAAAGCGTATTGAGATAATGAGGTCCTAATTATTCTCACGACGCCCTGGATTCAAATATGAAAAGATATACTTCTTTATTTTGAACACATAAATGTTCAACTACTTAATTTATAAGTAGACTCCAAAGTAATGGAGACGCAGCTAAAGATTGTGGATATTAAATGTCTCAAAAGGATTTCATTAAAAAGATGTATATGAAGTATTTGTTATGTTTTTATTATCTTTAACCAAGTGGTTTTAAATTACATTGTATATTTACATTGAAACGTTCACATTTGGATTAAATCAATCCAGACGAGAGTGACATACCCGTCTAAGTGAAGGATAGAAAAAGATAGATTATGTTTTCCCTCCAAGTCTCATTATATGTCGAAGATATTGACATGGTATGTACTCATATTAAAGAAAATGAGAAATCTTAGATACTTGAAAGTCATAATTGAGATAAAGGATCTTGGGAAACTCGGGTTGTTTTGAAAACACAGAGTTGGTTGAATAATAGTTTACCACTTGCATATATCCAAAAGAGTTCTTAGACAAATTAACATGGATAAATGTAAACTGTTAGCACTCTCATGATTGATCGAAATATGGATGCTAGAAAATATATCCATTATTGCAAAGTTATTGGTAGAAGAATTCCCTATGAAAGTGCAATGTGCGCATGATTGTACTTTGACAAACACATTCGACCAAATAATACATTCTCAAGAACGTGTTAGCTGAAAATAGCTTAGGACCAATACATCGTATATCATCATTGAAATAGTATCAAGAATGTAATTTGATATCTATATGAAACCATTGGTGTAATCAGTAATCATCCCTTATAAATTATCTAAATGATTGATGATAATAATATTTCTAAAGGATTTGGAAATGTCAAAAGTGTCACTCTAACACAAATTAACGTGATTTGAGTTTTAGTGATGATGGATATCCCCTTACCTTATTGATACTTTCTTAAAAGAGTATATATTTACCATGAAAGAAACCAAGATGTTATGCACGAAATACTTTTTTTTTATCCCGGAAGGCAAACCACCAAAATCAATGGGGTAAATGTCGGGGAACATTTACCAGAGTTATATTAAAAAAGAGAGGTAGTACAAAAAGAAGAGGGGAACTATACCAAAAACTCTTCAGATAAGGCATACCTTCTCGAAATACAAATAAAAAGAGCAAATGAAATAGATTGGGGGGGGGGGGGGGGGGGGGGGGGGCTAGACCTGACCCAGTCTTATAAAGCAAAAGAATGAAAATACAAAACAAATCCAATAAGGGCCGTTTATAAGTCCATAGAAGTGCTGGCCCAACATTTCTGCTAGAGAAGAGTGAAATCCAACTGCCTGAAATCAAAGAGGAAACAAAAGAGGAAAGCTGAGTAGATGAAATCAGGAAACCCTAATACTCGGATAATTAGCCGCGTCCATGTGAAGAGCTCCACTAATTCGAGCAGGAAGGTGAGCAGCTTTAAGATAGATCATCTGAGAACGTGAAGTTGAGTATTCTCTCACAAACAGATGTGCAACTATGTTTGATTCTCTATAACAGTGCTGAAAAGAGAAATGGAGGTCCGTGGCAATCCGTCTGATAGGGAGGATAAGATGAGTAAAGCTAGTCGAGACTTGATGTTGACGAAGAAGGGAGACTGCAGCCAGAGAGTAAATGTCGAATTCTTATTGATGTGTTGCATTCAGGAGGAGTCCTTACATACTTATTTATCATTAGTTATATTGGTGTTTGTTCTCTTTTTTCTTTTTATTTTTTCCCATTAGGTTTTGTTACTTGGTAAGGTTTTTTTGATGAGACAACATAATATGCACCATCCTACAATTTAATTTTGTGAAAGTAAAACAATGTTGAAGAAAGAACATAATTAATATATCGCAGTCAAAAGTAATTGACGCGTAGTTATTAGTGCATCATACTTCCTTTTCACTTTGACCGATATTTATTTTTTCCCATTGGATTTTCTTCATTGGCAACGTCTTAGCAAATTAATAATTTGGGAGAATTCCCAACGCTCGACACACAGGGGAGAATTAAAGGAATTATATTCCTATAATTATGTGCCTTCGTTAAGGTAATTATTGTGACAAGTATTGAAATGCACATATTTGCAAACACCCTTGATTAATGTAAATATTAAGGATAGACGTAGACTTGAGGGGGAGTACCTCAACTAGATTACGTTACACTCTTTTCCTTTACCCAAGTTTTATTTTTCCCACTGTGTTTTGTTACTTGATAAGGTTTTTAATGAGGTAACGATACATATAAATTTTAATGATCAAAGCAAAGATAAAATAAAGATAGACTTAATGAAAGAAGCCAATCTTGATACTATACTCCTTTTTCTCCAGTCAAAGTTATTTTTTCCCACAGGATTTTTGTTACTTGACAGAGTTTTGAAGAGACAACAAAACACATACAACATTATATCTACAACTCAACACAAGGGAGTGTTGAAGGAAATTATATGTTGTGTGTTATCGTTTAGATAGAATATGTATTAGCGGTTTTATATGTAAATTATGTATTATGGGCCTATTGGCCCATACTTGTAAACCCTACTTTATCCCTATTTATAGGGGCCTTTGATAATGAAACTCTACGAATCATTCTCCCTACAACATTAAAATGTTTAACCATTAATGCTAATTCAATTTGACAAAAAAGATTGGAATTCCACATGACAACCAAAGAAAGAGGACCTCTAAAGAGTGAAATTGCACTCGGAGTGAGATATAAATGTTCTTTTCGGAGTGGGCATTTTTTAAAATAGATACTCCATCCGCAACATTCGCATCTTAGAACTTCTTTCTGAACTTTAACATTTGTATTTTCTTATTTCTAAATTTTCTCATCACACCCTTAATAATTTTGAAAATAACACACTACTACAACTACTTTTTTGGATGTATCCTTCATTCTGACACACTATTTCATTATCTTCTCATCATACCCTCAATAATCTATATCCTCTTTCACTTTCTTGATCTCACCTACATCTAACCGGAAAGATATAAATGTTATCAAGATAGTATTTACTAAGAAGTATTTCTTGATACACATATAGCAAATTTTAAAGATTGACCGATTAGAAATTGTAATTCTCATAACAAAGTTGTGTATAAAACTAAAAACTAATAATTTGTATATGAAACTTCATTAAAAATCTATTGAATTGCAAAAAATGTGAATTAATTTGTTTAAGTTTTGATGCATAAAATTAGAGATTAAAAGTAAATCGAATTTAATAATGTACTCCCTCCGTTCCTAAATAAACTTCAAACTTTCCTTTTTCGTCCGTTCCAATTAAAACTTCCACTTTCCCTTTTTAGTAAAGAATTTGTGGTTCACAACATTTCTTACACATTTCTCTCTCCTCTGCACAACTCTCCACCACAAAATACTCACTATCTTAAACTCTGTGTCAAACCTATTTGGAAGTTTTAATAGGAACGGAGGTAGTAATATTCAGAGATTACTTTGTAATATTTCACAACTGTGTTTCTCTTATATTTATAAGAGAAAAAGAATTATTAGGTGCCTTAACCTTATATTTATAATATAAGGTTAAGGCACCTAATAATTCTTTTTCTTTTTTTTTTCCAAAATTGCCATCCTTCCTCTTCGACGCCGCTCACCTCTGTGGCTACGCTCGTTCCACCTGCGGCTATGGCGCCCTTCACACAGGTGCAGCCAATGCAATCCAGCAACATCCCTGCAATCCACTTCGGCTCCACCTCCTTCGACTCAGGATCCAGCAGCAGTCGTCCGCAGGTCTCTTCTCTCACTGCCTCGACGCCCATGTCTCCGCTTGCAGCCTCTCTCGCGCAGCGAATCAGTACCATTCCGCCATTGGATTCCTACCGATTGTTTAACATGCCCAAGCCTTTCTCCTGGACACCTACAACAACTCTGGAGCCGCCCCCTGTTTTTGCGCCACCTCTAGCTTTAGGCGCATCGCAGGCTGTTTTTTCTGGCCCCACTCTTTCTGGCCACGTCGGGGTTCAATCGATGCCGACAGATAATTCACATCCCAGCCAGGTTTGCCTTTCAGTTCGGTCTCGTTATCTTCTTTGGCATCACATTTAGCATTCTGGACACCCAACGTGACTAATATTGTGACCACCCGGTTATCTGACGTTGAAGATTATTTACCGTGGCGTACTCAATTTGAGTCATTTTTAGTATCTCATAGTCTTCTAGGGATACTAGATGGCTCAATTCGGGTACCCCACCTATTGTTTTTGACTTGGCTAGGTGTGAGACACCTAATTCTGAATATCACGATTGGCTGAAAATTGATACATTAGGCAGGAATGTTCTCATGGACTGTCTTCTCTTGGTTGTTTGCTACATTAGGCAGGAATGTTCTCATGGAGGTTTATACTCTTAAGTATTCTCAACAGGTGTGGGAGAGATTACAGTCTCGTTTTATGTCTGCCTGTTTTGCTAGATCCATAGAATTAAAGCGTTTATTATCTCATGTTAAAAAGAAAGAATCTCATACTATGGACCACTATCTGTTGAAAATAAAAATTATGACAGACTCTCTTGCGGCTATAAATTCACCGGTTAGCAACAGAGAACTTATAGAATATGCTGTGCTTGGGCTCGGTCGTGGCTATGAATCTCTCATCAACACGATCTCTTATATTTCGGCGGCGGATTTGGAGACTCTTAGACCTCTTCTCCAGGCGCAAGAACAAAGGGATGCTTTTCTGCAGACTCAGGACACATCTCCGGTGCACCAGGCCTTTGCAGCAGCCCAGGGACCTGCTGGCAGAGGTGGCCCTCGCGGTGGAGCTCCTGGTCGTGGCCCAGGAGGACGGGGTGGACGTGGACGTGGGAGACGCGGACGTGGTGGCCGCGGGTATTACCAGCAGTACCCCCCTTATCAGCAGCTTGGGGGTGCTCCTCCGGCATATGGCGGTCATCCCGGACAGCCGATTATTCCTCCACGTGGTCCCACATATACTGGCGGTACAGGTTCAGTTTTGAGTAATATTAGTTCTGGTTTTGGTTTTACTAATCCCTCTCGTACTTGTGTTACTCCTATTTGCAATGCAGGTTTTCCATCTGTAGAGAATTCTTATAATTCACCTGCACCTCGAGTTATTTGTCAGCTCTGCTTTTCTCCGGGTCACTCTGCTTTGACATGTTCCCGTTTCACTGCCCAAAATACTCCTGCTCTTGCGGCTCTACCCACCGGTGAGACGCATGATTCCGTATGGTACCCTGATTATGGAGCTTCCGCGCACATGACTCCTCACGAAGGTATTTTATCTTATAAATTCCCTTACACTGGCCCAAATCACGTATGTGTTGTTAATGGTACCAAATTACCTATTTCCCATGTTGGTCGCATTAAATTAAACACAAATGGTCACCCGCTACATCTTAACTCTGTTTATCATGTCCCACACATTAAATACAATTTGCTTTCTATACAAAAATTATGTGCGGATAATGCCTGTCAAGTGATTTTTGATAAAAATTCTTTTTCTGTTAAGGACAACCAAACGAGGGAGCTTCTTCTTCAGGCTTCTAATAGAGATCATGTCTACCTTTTTTCTGCTTTTCAAGCCCGAGTTGTACCTCGTCCCATTTGGCACAAGCGTCTAGGGCATTGTGGTGATCGAGATCTATGTACTCTTAGGCAAAATAAATTAATTACTAGTTCTTCTAATTTTAATCATGACTGTGTTTCTCGTAAGCTGGGAAAATCCCACAGACTTTCATTTTCTGATGCTACTCATGACACATCTGCTCCTTTAGAAATTATTCATTCTGATGTTTGAGTGTTTGACAATCGCCTGTTATTTCGAATCTTGGTTTTCGATATTATGTGTCATTTATTGATGATTTTTCTAGGTTTACCTGGATGTATCCGATGCGTAGAAAATCAGAAGTGTTCACTCATTTTATTAATTTTCAGGCACTTGTTGAAAATCTTTTAAATGTGAAAATAAAATTTTTTCAGAGTGATGGTGATGGTGAGTTTGATAATCACGCTTTTCGTCAACATTTTCTAAAATCTGGCATTTTGTTTAGAAAATCTTGCCCCAACACCCCTGCTCAAAATGGTGTAGCTGAACGAAAACATAGACATCTGCTCGAGTTAACTAGGACATTATTAATTGATTCTTCCATTCCTAGTCACTTCTAGGTCGATGCTCTTTATACTCCCACATTCATTATTAATCGTTTGCCTACACCTATTTTGAATGGGGTTACACCATATAAAAAACTTTTTAATAAAGTCTTTGACTATAATTTTATGTGTGTTTTTGGATGCTCTTGTTTTCCTAATTTTATCGCTGCCTCTAACAACAAACTCTCACCACGATCTACGCATTGTGTCTTTTTGGGGTATGCTCCGCGGTATAAAGGCTACCGCTGTTTATCCCCCTCCCCTGGCCGGGTATATGTTAGTCGTGGTGTCCTTTTTCATGAAAACGTTTTTCCATACCCATCTTTAACATGCACAAACCAAACACCTACCCCTACCCTATCTCCTTCATGGCTCTCCTCCTCGGTTCAGCAATGCTGCCAACTACCTGCTATACCTGACCCGACTACCCAGTCCTCACCGCAAATGTCCACCACACCTCTGTCCATTTCCCAGCCTACTCCTATCAATCACCCCTCCACGGTTCACACTCCAAATACCCCACCTGACTGTGACCATATGACCGACCCCCTGCCCAGTCTAATGCCAGAACTTCCCCAGTCCAGTAGCCTGGCCGAAACCCCTCCACTCTCACCTTTCCCCACTACCAGCCCTCACCTAGTCACACCACCAGTGTCCTCACCCTCTCCGAGTCCTCCGTCTGTCCTTAACATCCATCCTATGCGCACATGTGCCAAGGATGGCATTTTTAAACCTAAACATATTTTTAACATGAGTGTTTTCACTCCCTTAGATGATCCTACTTGTTTTACACAAGCTAATAAGAGTTTTGTTTGGCGGGTTGCCATGACTGATGAATTTAATGCTTTGATCAATAATAAGACTTGGGATTTGGTACCGTGGGATCCTACTAAAAATGTGGTTGGTTGTAAGTGGATTTATAAGACAAAATATTGTTCAGATGGGTTTGTTGAGCGTCATAAAGCTCGTCTTGTTGCTCAGGGGTTTAAACAACAGACTGGTATTGATTTTACTGAAACTTATAGTCCTGTTGTTAAGCCCACTACTATTCGTCTTTTTTTGTCTGTTGCTGTTTCTTTGGGCTGGTCTGTCCGTCAATTAGATGTGAAAAATGCATTTCTGTATGGTCTTTTAACTTGGGAGGTTTATATGCGTCAGCCTCAGGGTTTTGTTCATCCCTCTTATCCTAATCATGTGTGTCGCCTTCGTAAGGTTCTGTATGGTCTGAAACAAGCTCCTAGAGTCTGGTTTCACCGCTTCAGTGGTTTTTTATTGAGTCGTGGTTTCTCCCAGAGCAGGTCTGATTCTTCTATGTTTGTTTATCGCTCTCACTCTCACGTTGTTTATATTCTTTTATATGTGGATGATATTCTCATTACTGGCTCCTCCTTCTCTTTTGTTTCCTCTGTTATACACACACTCTCTCCAGTTTGCTATGAAGGATATTCATTATTTTTTAGGTGTTCAAGCTCAACGCTCACCTAAGGGTCTTTTTTTGTCCCAAGCTAAATACATCTCTGATCTGCTATGTCGCTTTCATCTTCATACAGTCAAACCAGTTCGTACCCATCTTCCTTCTCGCACATCTCTTTCTCTTACAGATGGGGAACTTTTATCTGACGCAACTGAGTATCGCAGTATGGTAGGTGCACTTCAGTACTTAACCATTACTAGACCTGATATTACTTATTATGTACACTTGGTGTCTCAGTTTATGCATGCTCCACGTACTACTCACCTTTTGGCTGTTAAGAGGATTTACAGGTATTTACAGGGTACAAGCTTGTACGGTTTATGGTTGTGAGCTGACAAAAATATTTTGGTGGTCACAGCTTATTCAGACGCAGATTGGGCAGGTTGCCCTGACAGCTCGCGGTCTACTACAGGTTATGCGGTTTTCTTGGGCTCCAACTTAATCTCTTGGCGCTCCAAGAAACAACCCACGGTGTCTAAATCCTCTACTGAAGCTGAATACAGGGCTATTGCGTACACTGTACAGGACACACTCTTCATTCGCTCTCTCCTGACTGATATGGGAATTTTTATCTCGACTCCAGTTCAGCTTCTTTGTGACAATGTTTCAGCTTCATATTTGGCGGTTAATCCTATTCAGCATGATCGCAGTAAGCACATCAAGATTGACTACCACTTTGTTCGTGAGCGAGTAGCACATGGAGATCTTGTTGTAAAGCACATACCTACACAGTTGCAGTTGGCTGACATCTTCACCAAAAATTTATCCAGTCAGCGTTTTGAGTTTCTTTGTTCCAATTTGCACGTGATTTCCCCTGCACAAATTGAGGGGGTGTAATAATGTAATATTTAGGGATTACTTTGTAATATTTCACAACCGTGTTTCTCTTATAAATATAAGGTTAAGACACCCAATAGGACAAGCCATTATTCCATCACATTATTCTCTCATAGAATTAACTCAGGGATGGTAATTAAAACTATCATTTTCGGACTGAGATACTACGTTGTATTTTTTAAAGAGGAAGTTTGAGCGAGCTTTTATATAGAGGAAGTTTTCATGTTAGGCGGATTTTGAAGATTATTTAAATATAGTTAATTTTTATTCTTTCCATCGTATTTTGATTGTTTTACTTTCATTTTTGGATTGTCTTAAAAATGAATGTCATGTTTCATTTTTTGATAAAAAAAAATATGCGGTCAATAACCTTTAACTTTCTTCTAATCAAACCCAACTATGGGTATGTTTGGCACAACTAGCTGAAAAGATACTTTTGTGAGCTTTTTAATAACTGTTAGCTTTTAGTGACTGAAAAGATCTTAAAAAGAAAATGTGGTAGCTGTTTGGTAAAAAGCTGACTGTTTGATTTAGTTCGGTTTGGTATACAAGCTGTTAAGAGTTAAGACTAATTAATACTAAAAGTTACGGGTTTTTTTCAGATGCTACTTCCTATAGCATCTCAAAAAAGATATTTTAATTTTTGAAAAGTCCTTAAAGATTATCACGCCAAACTAAAACAAGACATTCAATCAATGTGAAACGGAAGTAGCATTTTTTAAGAATAAGCATAATTGTTTTTGTTGATGTAGCCTATTGAACAAACACTCAATTAAAGGACTGGAGACTAAACTCGAGATCCAATTCATGAGTTTCTGAAATGATGATAGGAGCTTTGTCTCCACAATTTGTACATAAACATGAAGAAAAACTCGTGAAAAGCTAAAATCTCCCCTTCTGTCGCTTTCCTCCATATTTCCAGATTTTCTCCAACAAACCCCATTTAGAAAACTAAACCATAGGGGCGTGCTGTGGACAATGGCCAACAAGACTTGAGGAAAATGGTCGAATAAAGTCTTCTACTATTATGAAACTGTTACCGGGGGTGGATCTAGCTTTGGCATCCAGGTGGGGCCAAAATTAAATAAAAAACGAATATTCAAAAAAACATTTATTCTAGCAACAAAATCAAAGACAAAAATAAAGAATATAGGAATAAGAGTTTTCATTAAAGTCAAATACAAAAACACCATAAATTTACAAATGTTCTCTACGGGTTTTCATCGATTGATATCGTTTGATAATGACATCATTGTCAATCTTCAAGAAGATGTTTTTTTCTACATTAACAATAAATCTATCATTGAGCTTTCATCACTCATCTGGTTGCTCAAACTATCCTTCACGATATTCATTGTTGAAAATACTCTTTCAACACTAGCGGTTGCAACAGGAAGAATCAATGTTGTTTATTGAAAATAATGGGATGACTAATTACTACACTAATATTAATTAACTTAATAATTAGATTCATAAGAACAAGTCACAAGCAAATTCATACTATAAATGATGATTATAATTTACAAGTTTACAAATAATAATCAAACTCATATCAAGCATATTTAGTCTTTAACTTGAATTAAAAACACAATAAAATTAAAAGATTAAAAAAAATACCTCTTAACTTCTTAAGCACTTAGACAGTTAGATTTAGGCAGTACCGCAGCAGTTCTCACTTCTAGTCTTCTAAGATTTATTGCAAGGAGTGCCCAATTCTCACTATTGTAGTTCTCAACAAAAATAAAACAAATATCTCTCACTGCGCGGCTGAGCGCCTGAGCATTTGATTGGGAGTGAGTCGAGTGACTGCCTGTCGCTTGAGCCACCGACAAACATTTATCACGCCAATTTTTGAAAAGTCCTTAAAGATTATCACTCCAAATATATAACTAGAAGCTTTTAGAGGCTTTTTGAACAGTACAAAAGCTAGAAGGTAAAAACTTATGTCAAGTGACTGAAGATGGCCATCGCCTGTCGGGAATACGTTTTTGGCCTTTGCCTTTGGGGTTTTGCCGAAGTCGCCGAAGCAGAAAGAAAAGGAAGAAGCGTCGAAGCGGACTGGTCAGACTTAGTGATGGACTAAACCGGGCCGGCCCGGCCCGGAATCGGCCCGGACCGGACCGGGACCGGTTGGACGGTTCCGAGCTTTTAGCCCGTTTGGGCGGGTCAGGCGGGTCGGGCTCAGGCCCAACTTTTGGTGAACCGGCTTTGACGGTTCGGGCAGGGCCCAATTCAATTTTTTTTTGTTTTTCCAATTTTTTTTTTGCTTTTCTAGGTTAGGGCTGGTTGTTTTGGGGGGTTTGGGAGTGGGGGTGAAGGGGGAGGGGGTCGGGTGTTAATTAGAAACAAAAAAAAAAATTGAACTTGACCCGGGCCCGGCCCGGCCCGACCCGGTTAGGCCCGGACCCGGTATCAACCCGGGCCGGTTTCGGGCCCTAAATTTTGCAAAAAAAGCCCGCCCGGGCCCGGCCCAGAACCGGAACCGGACTGGCCCGGGTCCAACTCTAGTCAAACTCTTCCCCTGCGCCTGCTTTTTCGACTTCATAATTTGGACTGGGCTTCCTTTTTTAAAAATTGAGACTGGGCCTGATTTTGAAACTTATATACTCCCTCTGTCCCATATTTAACTCCGGTTTTGACCGGGCACGAGTTTTAAGATAGTGGGATTTGTGTGGTGGAGAGTTATGCAGAGGAGAGAAATGTGTAAGAATGGTTGTGAACCACATATTCTTTACCAAAAAGGGAAAAAGAAGATAAATTTGGGACGGACCGAAAAGGAAAGAATGAAGATAATTCCGGGACGGAGGGAGTACTACTTAAAAAACAAAAAAAAAAAGCATGGGCTTGGGCCCCTGGCTCTAGGCCCAATCCGCCCCTGACCGTCTCATAAGGTCATGTACTCAATAAAGTGTCATATAAATACATCTACTTATAAAAAGCAATTGGATGAGTCCTAACGACCTCTTGACGACCTATGATTCCCGGTTATAGCTTATGTTTAACCATCTTTTTCAAAATAGATTATAAGGCTAACGTGAAATATTTAGCTATGATCGGCTTAAATATAAGGCAAAAATAATGACACGTAAGCTAAAATCGGGAGTACGAGATTGTCAACAAGTCATTAGGACTCATCACATTGCTTTTTATAAGTACATGTATTTAAATGACACTTTATTGAGTACATGATCTTATTTGACGATTTTGTAATAGTAGAAACTTTATTGTAATAATAGAACGAAAAGCAATATTGACATCAAAATGCTCAAGTTTTTCATAAAAATTATTTAGCGTAATTATTGTTTGAGCCTATGGTTGGACTCAGGTCGGGCCACCCGGCCCGTGGACCGGCCCGCTACTGTGTGGGACCGAGACCGGCCCGCTGCTGTGCGGGACCGGGTCCGGGTCGGGCCTAGGCCCGAGGGGGTAGGACGGGTCCGATCTCAGGTCTCAAATTTGGTGAACCGGCCCGGCCGGGTCGAGCCCAAGCCCGGGCCAAATTGATTTTTTTTTATTTTTTATTTCATTTTTGGGGTTCCACCCTGGTTGGGCTTGATGGGTAGGATAAGTTTGGGGGGGGAGGGAGGATGGTGGGTGGGGGGGGGGGGGGGGGGGGGTTAGGAAAGCAAAAAAAAATCCAAACCGGAGGCCCGGACCCGGTAGCTACCCGGGCCGGTCCCGGGTCCACCATTCCTGAACCGCCGGCCCGCCCGGGCCTAGGCCCAACCCGGACCCGAGTCCACCCCTATTTGAGCCCCTTTATTTTGAAAAAAAAACGACTAGCCTGCAAGTCAAAATGCCTTCAATCAAAATACACTAATTTTTTGGGAAATATTTTTTTCGATAATATTGACATGCTTATTAAAAAAAAACACCAAATTGGCAGGGATGTTTAGCCTTTTGACTGGAATATGTCAAATCTAGGGATGGACTGGGGTCCGAGCCGAGTCCGGGCAGGGTCCGGATCCAGGCCTAGGCCCAGGCAGGCCGACGGTTCAAAAATGGTGGACTCAGGACCGGCCCGGGTAACCACCGGGTCCGGTTCGGGTCCAGGTCGGGCCCATTATCATTTTTTTTATTTTCCTCTTCCTAATTAACCCCCCTCCCACCCCCAACCCCCCAAACCACCCCAAATGGCCCAAAATACCCAGCCCAACCCGAAAATTTAAAAAAAAAAAAAGATTTTGGTCCGAACCGGGCCTGGGCCCGGTCGAGTCTTGTTTTGGGTGACCCAAGCCCGGACCAGAAAACCCACGGACCAGGCCTACCCGGACCGGTCACTGACCGGGCCACCGGGTCAGGCCGGGCCAGAACAGTACCGGGCCGATTACGGGTCGGACCACCCGGCCCGAGTCCATCCCTAGTCAAATCCATATCAAAAATAGTTTGACGCGAGCTATTTGACACGAAATTATCAATAAAACTGTGTCTAATCCGTGTCAATCACATAATTTTTTTGCTATGATATAAACTTAACTTGATCACGAATTCAGGAGCGAACCATCATAAACTTATAACATTTCCTAGACTCCTAGTATATGTTTCTATAACGAAACTCATTTGCCAATTTGACTTTTTTGAAAAAAGTTGTACTTTGAGAATCAGATATACTTGATCCTATTTTTTGTTTTATACTTTTTTTGTACGCATTTAAACCTATTTTCAAAAATTTGTCCACTAAATGAGTCCATTTTTTTTAAATAAAATGGAAATACTCATATTAGACACTCACACGTAAAATTAGGGATGGACCGGGACAGGTCAGCCCGACCCTGCCCGGCCACATTGTAGATAATTGTCATTCCATTAGTGTTGTCTATCCATATGGCTACTCCACAAAGGGAATGGGTTCTTCCATAAGATGTGGACTCAGATGAACAACAATATCATATAACTACACAAAATTGAAAGCAAAATAAAATATGAAAAACAAAAACAAAAAAGGGCCTTTACACAAGAAGAATATCGGGTGTTCTGAAACTTAAAGTTATGTACCAACTGTTACATGTAAACAGTTATACACCCTCATGGTTAGTACAAATGCACACAAGAAAGTTCATGCACAATACTATTTCTTCTAATCTAGTTGACGGTGGGGAGAAGGTCAATGTGAAACTTGAAAAGTAAACTACACGAGAAAACTCTTCCACTGTCTAGATAGACAGCAACTTCATCCCATCAAATAATGTACAGAAGGAAACAAGGCATTATCAAATGATGATTTAGTGCCTAGGAACCGGAGGTGGAGGTGGAGGTGTTTGAGGACTCTGTCCATAAAATCCAAACCCGGGTGGTGGGTAATACCCACCACCACTGATAGACTGCTGAGTTGGCTGCTGAGGTGGTTGGAGAGGAGGCAGTCTTGTTAGTCCAGTCGCTAGATGCAGAGGTGGGGGTGGACCAGCAGAAGCATACCCATAGCTCAAACCCCCCATAATCATAGCTGCAGATTGAACTAGTGGGGAAGTGACGGAATTTGGTGGAGGGATGGGGGGAGGAGGAGGGGGCGGAGATGAGAACTGGGAAATTGTGCCACAAAAGTATGGAGTAGATGAAGAATTACCTCCATCCACATTATTTTCAGATGATAAAGATGCCCCTGCTGGATTGTCCAACGTCAGCCTCTTCTTCTCAGGTAAATTAGAAGAGAAGCCCACTGGACCTCTTTTTAAGGCACTGCTGCTAGTCGAGGCAGAGGCAGAGGCGGCAGCAGCCTCTTCAGCAACAAGGGAAGAGAGGACAGATGTGAGCATTTGGGCAGAGGATGTCGAAGCAGTTAGCTTTGCAGCGACTGCAGCAGCAGCTGCTGCTCTCTTGCTGCTCTCCTCATCGGTTGTAGATTTCAGAGTTGCAAATGAAGATGAAGTGACAGGAGGAAGATTTGTAGGCAATGGAATCACAGGATAAGGACTTGTCTCACTTGTCCTTGCTGCTTCTTCTATTGTTGGATGTAGAACAGGAGAAGATCTAAACCTCTCGATGATATCCGCAGCTTGCTCAATCTGCATACGAGCGGCCTGCAGTGCATGAAACAAGCAACAGAATCAACAAACAGCCATACTTGTAAATAGACTTGAACAGAATCAACAAACAGAATCAACAAACAGAATCAACAAACAGCCATAATTGTTTGGAACAGATTTCAATATTTTTCGGAAGAGTTGAGTTTATGATCGAGTTGAAAGGGAAAAATTTGTTCAAATTCTTTGCTTACAAGGGAATGAAAAATAGAACTTCAAAATGAACAAGCTGCATTGCTGAAATTCCATTAAAATCCCTGTAAACAATCTTGATGATAAAAAAAAAGTTCTACCGGCAGAAAAAACATAAGAATCATATCAATGTAGTCAGTCAAGTCACCTCCTTCCTAAAGGTAAATCCCACGAGCACGTTTCGTTGTCATGTAAACCATCCTCCACCAAGAAACATCTAACATGTTGAAGTATATTTATAATGATAATACGTCTCTTTAGAGCATTCATGCTTCAAATTGGAATGGATTAGATCAACTTTTCAATGCAAAAAGTGTAGAAGTACTGTACAAAAGTGCATTACTTTAATGTACTATGACCATAGTTACATAAATTGCCAGCCTACCCGCGATCTGCGTTCTGAATCGCGCATTCCAGATCGCGGAACGGAACAGTAGCGCGCCAGGCGCCTCTGGGTTCTGACTTCTGACTTCAGTACGGTGGTGAAGTCAACATGGGAGAAATCTATGAAAAATGGATAATATGTTGGGAGATATTAAAAATATCATGGCAAATAATCGATATATTGCTTACTACCCAAAAGTGGAGGAAATTTTGTTAGCTAGGTGGGAGAAGATGACCATTCTTTCGCATTGTTTGGGTGTTACTTTATTGTCACAATTTTGTGATGTATACTATCTCAAGATATTAGCACCCGGTGAACTTGGCTAAAGAGGTTGTACTAGGTGTAATGGAAGCTTTTAAATAAACTTGGTGAAACCCCAAAAGAACAACAGCTGTTAAGAGAATACTTTGTAAAATTGGTGGTCAACATATGATTCAGAGACACCTTAATCAGAAAGAGGTTGCAAAAAAGGTTCTATCATAATCTATAAGTAGTTCCTCGGCTAAGAGAATTGGAGCACTTACTTGCATTCATTGTTCCAAAAGGTGGAATCTCCCACCCCAGGAGCCCCCCACCCCGACCCGGCAGGATGATGGGGAGGTTAGTCAAGGTGACTCAGTCAGCAGAATGGCAGTAGGCCCATACACCCGTGCGCACCAAAGACCCAGCCTTATTTCAGGTTCTGTGACCTCCACCCGGTCGCTGCGGGGATTCGAACCTTGATCCATTGTTCCAAATCTCCCACCACTCGACCAACTGAGCTACCCGTGCGGGTACACTTACTTGCATTCATAATGTGAAGGAGAAATCATTTGAATTGTAAAAGGGTTGAGAAATTGGTATCCATTCATTCAAAGATTCGTGTCCAATCACGATTTTCTAAAGCATACAAAGTTGAGCCGCATAAGAGGTGGCAATTGAATACTGAAAGTAAGTACGCGGAAGGCTCAAGTGCAAGACTAGATGAGCTGCAATGGGAGATGATGCTCCAAATGACGTGGAAGAAGACAGAGGATTCAGTAGTGTAGAAATAACTTGAGAAAGTAAAATGTATTTTATTTCTCTTATTCTATGTAATACAATGAGATGAATACAGAATATATATAGCTAGAGAAAAGTGGAATAAGGAAGTAATCCTCCTAATTAAGATTCCCTAATAAAGACAAGATAATTGGGGATATTTAGAGATTCTGAGATCTCTAAGATATCTCCTCATAAATGCTAAATCGGATGAGTAATTATCTGTAATAATCTACACTCCCCCTCAAGCTGGGTGATGGATATCATCCATGCACAGCTTGCTAGATAAGTCTTCAAACTGAATTCTGGGAAGTGCCTTGGTGAGTATATCCGCTATTTGCTGTCTGGTTGGAACATAGTTCAGCTGGATATCCTTTGCTGCAATCTTCTCTGATAAGAACCTTCTGTCTATATCAATGTGTTTGGTCCTGTCATGATCTGGATGGAGCTTTCAAATTGGAGTTTGAGCTCATTCATCAATCTTCTTAACCACAATCCTTCACAGATTCCTTGTGTTAAAGCTCTGAGCTCAGATTCCACACTACTTCAAGAAACCACTGATTGTTTCTTGCTCATCCAGGTGACTAAATTACCCGATACATAGGTACAGTAACCAGTAGTTGACCTTCTGTCTAAGAGGCTTCCAGCCCGGTCAGTAAACACTTCAACCTTCCTTGTCCCTTGTTTCTGAAACAACAATCCTTTTCCAGGAGTCATTTTTAGGTACCTCAGAATTCTATACACTGCAGTTAGGTGTTCCTCGGTTGGGTCATTCATGAATTGACTTACCACACTTACTGAGAAAGCAATGCCTGGCCATGTGTGAGATAGGTAGATTAGCTTCCCTACCAGCCTTTGATATCTACCCTTATCAACTGGTGGACTTTCAGTCTCACTGCCTAACTTCTTTGATATATCCATAGGAGTGTCCATAGGCTCTCACCCAAGCATTCCAGTTTCACTTAGCAAGTCTAGAACATATTTCCTTTGTGAAATGAAAATGCCTTTCTTAGATCTTGCCACTTCCATTCCCAGGAAGTACTTCAACTCGTCTAGCTCCTTGATCTCAAATTCTCTTGCTAGATGAGCCTTTAATCTGTCCAATTCAGCCTTATAATCCCCAGTCATAATAATATCATCAACATATACTATAAGAATAGCCAATTTTCCAGAGTCTGCTCTCTTTACAAACAGTGTATGGTCTGCCTGACATTGCATGAACCCTTGTTTAATAACTGATCTTGTGAACCTATCAAACCATGCTCTAGGAGACTGCTTTAGTCCATACAAGGACTTTTTCAGTCTGCAAACCTGACCAGATTTTCCCAAGTCTTCTAATCCAGGTGGTACATCCATGAATACTTCCTCTTCTAGGTCTCCATTAAGAAAGGCATTCTTAACATCTAGTTGATGTAATTGCCAGTCTAGGTTCAGTGCGAGTGATAACAGCACTCTAATGGTGTTCAACTTTGCCACTGGTGCAAATGTCTCTGAATAATCAATGCCATAAGCTTGGGTGAACCCCTTAGCAACTAGCCTTGCCTTCAACCTTTCAATCTTTCCATCAGCCTGATATTTAACTGTAAATACCCACTTGCAGCCAACAGTTCTCTTCCGTGCTGGCAAATCTGTAAGCACCCAAGTTCCATTCTTCTCCAATGCTGCTAATTCATCATGGACAGCCTTCCTCCACCCTGGATGTTCAAGGGCTTCCTTGATGTTGTTAGGAACCTGAATATTATCAATCTTTGAAATAAAAGTTTGATAGTTTGCTGATAGTTTCTTATAACAAACAAAATTATAGATAGGATGCTTGGTACACTCCCTTACTCCCTTTCTTATAGCAATAGGCAAGTCTGGTTCCTCATCATCTCCTTCTATAGCCTCAACCTCTTTGTCATCAGGACTCAAATTTGAGTCAGATGATTGTGTGGTGTTAATTGGAGTGATGTGCTCTTCTTCTGGAACTCTGGTTCTAGGTTTCCGCTTATAGGTATTCTTGTAGAATGGGGAATTTTGATTTAGTGTAGGATTTTGGGGTAATGATTGGGGTGATAAAGTTGGTGGCTGAAATGGTGTGGTTTGTGGAGAGACGGTATTGTCTGGAGGGTTTGATTCAGGTCTGTCTGGGAGTATGGATTCAGTGTGGTTAGATTCAGATTCTTGGAGGTCTGGAATAGTGTCTGAAATAGGATTCAAAGACTGGATTTCATTGTGGTTCTCCCCCTGAAATTCAGTTTTGGAATAGAAAGGCTGATTTTCAAAAAAGGTTACATCCATTGTGATGTAGACCTTTTTGTTGGCAGGAGAATAACATTTATATCCTTTCTGGTTGGCAGCATATCCTATGAATATACAAGGTAAGGATTTAGGATCAAGTTTTGACCTAACTGGAGAATGGTTGTGAACAAATGCTTTGCAACCAAAGACCTTTGGTGGAAGATTGGTAATAGGGATGTGAGGATGTAGATAAGATAAGATTTGGTATGGTGTTTTAAATTTGTGAGTTTTGGAGGGCATCCTATTTATCAAGTTAGGACAGCCTCTCCCCAGTAGTGTTTAGGAGTGTAAGTGGTGAACATAAGGGCTCTAGCAACTTCCAGTAAGTGTCTATTCTTCCTTTCTGCCACCCCATTCTGTTGTGGGGTGTCAACACAGGAGCTAATGTGTATAATCCCCTTTTTTGACAGAAACTCTCCTAAATTGGCTGAGAAATATTATTTGGCATTATCAGTTTTAAAAACCTGAATCTTGGTTTGAAATTGAGTTTTGATCATAGAATAGAATTTTTGAAAGATAATATTGACTTCTGACTTATCTTTCATGAGGAAGACCCAGGATAGACGTGTATGATCATCAATAAACAGAACAAACCACCTTGAGCCAGTGAGATTTTTGACCTTAGATGGGCCCCAAACATCACTGTGGATGAGAGAAAAAGGTTTAGATGGTCTGTAAGGTAGACTGGGATAGTGACTTTTAGTATGTTTAGCAAGTTGACAAAATTCACAATCCCTTTTATTTATGAATAATGAAGGAAATATTTTTTCTAAGTACAAGACATTAGGATGACCAAGACGATAATGCCATAACTGAATTTGAGTATCAAATTGACTCCTACTAAGACTCCCTAAGAACTTATGGTTGAATTGACTCTCACTGGAAGTTGTCTTGTTGGTGGAGTTGGGTGAATGTGGTGAATGTTCCAGAAGATAGAGTCCACCACTTTGCTTAGCACTGCCAATCATCCTCCCCGAATCCAAATCCTGAAATTCACACAATTGTGAAGAGAATTTAGTTAGGCAATGTGTATCACTATTCAATTTACTGACTGATAAGAGGTTAAACTTTAAATCTGGAACATATAACACTGTGTTAAGCACTATCTTGTCAGAAATTTTGACTCTTCCAGTCCCTTTTATTGCTGAAGTAGTTCCATCAGCAATCTTCACAGTTACCTTATTCTTCATAGGGATCAATTCAGCAAAAAACTTACCGTCTCCAGTCATGTGATCTGATGCCCCTGAATCAACAATCCAATAGGGCTGATTGTGTGCAACTAGGGTTGTTAGGGCATTACCAGTCTGAGCAGTAAGGCTAGTTGATGGTGCAGGCCCCTTGCTCTGACTTATTAGATGTTGAAGAACCTCAATCTGCTCATTGGTAAATGCAGCAAGATTAGAAGTGCCCATATCTTCTTTATCTCCAGTAGCTACATAGGCTCCTTTCCCTTTGCTTGGTTTGAAATCTTTAGGTGTACCATGAAAATTCCAGCATGTTTCTTTGGTATGGCCTGGTTTCTTACAGTGATCACACCATGGCCTCCCTTTTTTCTTGTTTTCATTCTGTCTGGAAGAGGTATATAAGGCTGACCCTTCAATATTTTGTTGCTGGCCTTGAGATTTCAGACCCATCATTACCTTCCTTCTGCTTTCTTCTCTTCTTACTTCTGAGAAGGCTTCTCTAAAGGTGAGTTTCTTTCCCATTATTCTGCCCCTAACCTCATCTAGACTCTTGTCTAAACCTGACAGGAATTTGAAGACTCTCTTCCTTTCACAGATCTCCTGATATAACTTCTTATCCTTAGAACATGACCAATTGTATGTCTCAAACACATCAAGATGCTGCCCTCACAAGGTTGTTGAAGTATTGAGTTACACTCAATTCTCCTTGCTGAAGGTTATGTAGCATTGATTCAACCTGAAGTTGAGTATGTTTCTTTCACAGCCTCCCAGATCTCTTGAGCTGTTTTGTATAGTAGGAAATTTTCTCCTATACTGGTTGTCATGGAATTGATGAGCCATGACATCACAGTATAATTCTCCTTTTTCCACTTCTTGTAACCTGGATCTCCTTGATCTAGAACAGGTGCATCACCTGTCAAATAGTCCTCCTTGTCTTTTCCACACACATACATCATCACGGACTGAGACCATTGTAGATAATCACTACCATTCAGTTTATGGCAAGTAATAATCGAATCTGACTGATTAGGAGTGGTGATTGTGCTTCGATTGATATTCTGGTTGCTACCATCTCCAGTTGGGACAACCTCTGAATGTTCAGAGGTGACTGGGAAAGATCCATCTCTCTCGGTGGTCATCCCATAGGATCCGAACTTAATCATTTTAGAGAATAACCACGCTCTGATACCATGTAGAAATAACTTGAGAAAGTAAAATGTATTTTATTTCTCTTATTCTATGTAATACAATGAGATGAATACAGAATATATATAGCTAGAGAAAAGTGGAATAAGGAAGGAATCCTCCTAATTAAGATTCCCTAATAAAGACAAGATAATTGGAGATATTTAGAGATTCTGAGATCTCTAAGATATCTCCTCATAAATGCTAAATCGGATGAGTAATTATCTGTAATAATCTACAAGTAGTTTGTTGCAAACTTTGTTGACTGTTTTATTGAAGTCAATGTTTTATTGAAGTCGTTGCTGCAAACTTTGTTTACTGTTTTATGGCTAGTTTTGATGCTCCAAAGTCCAAACTTGGTTAAGTTTGTTTACAGTTTTATCAAAATTACTTTTGTTATTTTGTTGAACTTATGATATCTTGAACTGTTTAACTTATAATTGAAATATATTCAGTTTATGAATTGAGAACAATTGGACTTTGAAATTTGGAATGTCAGATGAATTGTTTGATATTATTACTATTATATATTTATTATAATTATACTTTAAATTCTATACGTCAATGTATTGAAGAAGCCTACCCCCAACCCCCGTGTATCGATTGCATATATCAGCGAACTGTGATCCCATTTTCGTTCCGCGTTCCGAAGTATACCACAATCAATGTGACTATGACGCATAGCACATTTTGTTTTATAATTTATATATGATGCAACATTTGAGCACTCAGAAACACTGTGTATACAATGATGCACTTTTTACACGCTGAACTTTGAAATATTTACAAAAGTGCCACCGCGTTTATTCTAAAATTTCAACCCATCCATCGATTTTATTTGAATGATGGCCTCCATGACTTCTTATATTTCACCTAGAAAGTAATTTTTTGAACTCAACTCTATATAAATATATATAGCTCCAAACACGTGCATAACTTTTAGGTTTGATGTAAATTCTAAAACCCGAGGGGCTTAGTTGGTTCAAGGACTTTAGAGGGGTTGAGAGGATTAATTTTGTTTTATTGATACGTCTCTATTATTTAGTCATCGCTATTTGTTAGAAAGTTTTATCATATCGCAATTGGGCCTGCATTATTGTATAACATAGATTATTAGGCGGTGAAACAATGTCCCATTCAAAGGATGAGTATGACTAGTATGCGCATGTTGCATTGGATGTGTCGACATACTAGAAAAGACTTCTTGAGAAATGAACAAAAAGTGGGAACAACATCCACTGAAGATAAGATATGAAAATTGAAAAATACCAGTCTCGATTGAAGTGATTTGGTCAGTGCGTAAAAGACCGAATGATGCACTTACTCAACGAGTTAAGAGGTGGGGAGGAGCGGTGGAGAGGAGAGGAAGACCCAAAGAGGCATGGATTAGAGGAGTGAGGGAAATATATGATTCTCTTTGGGTTGGGTGAGAGTATGACTTTGGAGAAGACATAATAGAGAAAATTTGTGTGGAGGATTGTCTCTTTTGTCTTTTTATCTTTCTTATGTTATACTACCTCCGTTCTTAAATAAATGCAACACTTTGACTTTTACACTATTCACATGTTCTACTTTGACTACGTTTTATTTATTAATGTAATAATATTATTTTATGAAAATAATATTGTTAAACTTGTCTCATTGTAAATTTTCATAATCTAATTTTTTTAATTTTTTTACTAATACAAAATCATTTATATTAATGGTCAAAGTTGTGTCTCGGCAAGTGTGAAATGTTGACCGTTGCATTTATTTAAGAACGGAGGAAGTATTTTTTTACCTTTTTATCTTATCATTTTTATGTGTCTTATTTTCATCTTCATCTAATGTCATGTGTCGATTCATGTCAGTCGACCCTCTTTGGTCGACCCTCTTTTGAGAATGAGGATGTTTTCTTTTGGACTGAAATTTGCTTGTTTGGTCTGGTCTTTTTAAGTTCGGTCTGGTTTGGTCTGGTAAATGTCCAGTCTGGTTTGTTTAAATCTGGTTTGGTCTGTTTAAGTCTGGTTTGAATGGTCTGGGACTAAAAACAATCCAAAAGAAAACATACTAAGAATGTTTTTAAATCGCCTGAAGTTTTCTGATCTGTTCTCATAACCTAATTTGGTCTGTTTAAGTCTGGTCTGATTTGAACTGGTATGATCTATGTTTATTTTAAAGTTGTCGAAGTTTGATCTGTTTAAGTCTTGTTCTAGTGCGGTCAAGTCTAATCTGTTCTGATCGCGGATTGAAACTTGTCCATGTTAAAACACCCTAAACTTGGATATTGTTGTTGACTTGTTGTTAAATGATGTATAAATATATATTTCTTCGTGCACATTATAAATATAACCTCCTCTTGTCCCTTCCGAAATCCCCACACCATTCAAGCCCTTATGGTTCATATAAATATCTGATGGGATACATATATGTTATGAATAATGGAAACAAATGTTGCCAGACTTTTGACTACTCAGCAAGGTCAGTGATAAGATTGAATAAACTGATTAGACAATAGTTACAAGAAAACAGAATAGCAAGAACTTTTGTGGACACTAGGTATTCCAGCACAGCTTGTAATATAAAATGCATGGCTAAGAGAAGGCAATGGGTAAAAGAGATAAGAAGAGGAGTCCTGACCTTCAAATCACTCCGTAGCTGCTCCAGTTTATTCTCCTGGAAAGAGATTCTGTGAGAACTAATGAGCACATAATAGAGCACCACGGAACTTCAGTTGGTTAAAAGTAGCTAATTGGTGATAATTAAATAATGAAACACTGTACTTGATTGTCAGCTGCTTCTTTAAGCTTAGAAACCAAGGATGTCCTGGATGCTTCAACATACTCTAGTTGGGTAACACATTGCTTAAGTACGTTCTCCTGTTCTTGAATCTTATCCAACATTTCAGATCCCTGAGGAGTCCCTGTGCAGCCAGTAAAACGTTATCAATACTTGTTACAACAACAACAACATCCAAGCCTTAGTACCAAAAGATATTGTTCCAGGAAATAACAAAGAATGAAGTCACATATTTGTGTTCTGAATGCATGTGTCATTCAGTAGGCTAAGGATGTGCCTAAGTAGCTGATTGTGTGCTATTATCAACATTTGGGCAATACGGAGTATATATTAAGCCCCCACCGCCTAACACATGCATATGATACAGACTTGTTACACAAGTTTATTCAATTTGGATAACACATGCATATGATGCAGACTTTGCTACACAATTTGGTTGTAATTTGGTTGTTGAAACTACTGACATAATTACATTGTCTTGGACTGGCAATCAACTTAAATATATTTAGTTCGTTCCTTGAACACCATATTAGATGTGATGTACAGTGCTGCCTCGTTATCACACCAAGGGCTGGGTTTGAAAAACTGAAAACTGAAGCAAAGTAAACTGAACCACAAACAAACTAAACCGAACTGCAAAAAACGAATGCAAACATACCGAACAGTAGTTGCTTGGTTTGGTTTCGGTCATTCAAAACTGAACCAAATAGCCATACTAACAAAATAGTAATGTATGCGTTGACTGTTTAGCATTAATCCTAATATCATTTTTAGTCGTTGGTTGGAAAATTATTGTTTTGTATTAATACTTATTATGAATTTTTATTTAAGTTGTTAAATTTTGGATTTAGTTACGTTCACAAAATTCATTTAGAATTTCATTCCCTGATAATACAAGTATATTGATCTATTAATTTTTTTATGTAGGTATTTGTAGTTTATTGTATGATGGTGAAGTGCTTTTGTTGCTTATAACTAATAACTTTGCTTTCTTGTATCCAGAAAATTTTATATTGAGAGAATGAATAAATGTCAATCTCAATTGTACCTCATAAAAAGTACCCGTATGATTGTATGAATTAAATAAATTTCTTTTTATAGACAATATATCATGCATTCTCTCACGTATAGTTCAAGATATAGTTATTATGTCTCTTTATTTTATTCTTTCTAGTAATTTTGCATTGTGTTGTTCATGTTATAGGTTTGATTTCCCCCCAACGATAGTACTACCTCCATCCAATAATGTAAGATGCATGTGGATTTAGTGCGGGTTTTAAGAAAATAGAGGATAAACTTGTTGTTTTACAATTCTAACCTCCAAAGAGTAAGAAAAGAGTAACATGTTCACAAAAAGTAAAGGGTGAAATGATAGATAAAAGGATAAATTGGGAGAGTTAAAAGTTAGCAGAGTTCAATTAGGAAAGTGTTCATATTTTTGGAACACGCCAAAAAGGAAAGTGTATCATACATAATAGGACGGAAGGAGTATCATTTTTTTAATCAAACCACAACATTTTTTGTAAACAAACAGAACTAAACCAATCAATCCATGGTTTTATGTTTTGAAATGCAAAACCGAACTAAATATCTAACTTTAGTTTCGTATCATATTTTGGGAAAAACCCATATCCACCCCTAATCACAACTTCATTGGATTAAGTTTGTGCGCCTTAAGTCCAATGTTAACCCATATTAGTTTGCATGAAGCAAATATCATTAGACAATACAAAGCTTTTGTGCTTCGATTACTTCTTATTTTTTTAAATTCCAGTATTGACCCAAAATGCTATAGAAGTGATTTCTATCTGATGCATATTTCTCTGGACCACGCAAATCGCAGGAGTTGTTTGAGCCACCTATAAATCGAGGATATATACAAGTTTTCCTAGGTCTTCGGTTACAAAAACAGTTACAGTGTATGTGGATAGTTTATTTGAGTAAATTGTATCATCTCTGCGATAACATTGTCAACAACATAAACTACTACTTATATGCTTTTTCACAGATGATGTTAATAGAGATCAAAGTATCATTTTACTTCACATGTAGCCAACTTTTTAACTTCACAAAATCTGCCAAATCATAATCCCCGTCTCCCAGTGATTGTTTTAGTCTATAAAATTGCTTGAGGTGACACGGTAGATATTTTTATGTGTTGCCAAAAAGCCTGGATGTTTATTCAGGGATATTGCACACAAATTTCCTAAGAGAAGCATCTTATCAAGCTGATATAATGGTCATTGGTTAATGGTGCTATAAGGTTCTAGTCAACCAAGGAAATCAGGTGGGAGCTACACTGCCTAGTCAACAAGTATGCATCCTTGTTGACTAGGAAACTAGGAGCACTAACCAAACTTAGGCGCCATAATCTAGCACTTGGGGGATCTCTCTATTTCATGCCTAGGCGCACAGGATAATTGATCCTTGACAAGGTGAACTGTGTATCTAATCCAGCTGCCTTTAGAATATGAGTGTTTCAATGTAAGAGTTCTTTTTGAATTTTATTTTTAATGAGACTCTTATCTTTGGAACAATACATCGATTAGTATTTGATTAATCGCTTAGTTATGAAAGCATGTACATTTTGATGGTTTACAAGTTACAACTTGAAGGTATAATGTGACCCTTAACTTTAGCTTTTCTGCTTTATCAGCATCTTATTTGTCATTTAGTGATAAAAGTGTGTGTTTTTTGAATATTTAGTGCTTGTTAAGCATGTTCTATTATAAAATAAAGATTAAAGAAGAAAAATAGATTTATTCCATATTTCCATGTCAAGTCATTCATAAAATGGGAGTAAACTTTAGAAAATAATAAAATTGGATAGTCCTCATAGAGAAAGCTTTAAAAGATACGTGCACCCGAGTTCGAGGACATACTGAATGAATGGGCCAAATAAACTAATGCAGAAGAATATCCCCATTTGACCAGCAATGAAATAACTCAAACTAACTATACAAGGAGCTGGGCAGTCATGATCCTGTTACTTTCCCCGTTTCCTGCATGACTTTCCCTGCCCGCTATTATTTTTTCCAAAGAATTACCAACAAAGATGCATACATACACTTTCTTTTGAAGATGAAGACAACTGTTACTTGTATGTTGCAGGTGATGCAAAACTATGAAATGAGAAAACACTTACTAATGCACCAGAAGAAATCAAAATATAATAGGGGGTTGGAAATCATAAATTCCTTATGGTTTATAGAGAGAAGTGTTCTCACCCTGAGAGAATACGTTCGCAATATCATTCTCCATTTCTTTGAAATGAAAAAGAGCATCTTTACACTTGTTCAAGGCACCTTCTTCATTGGTACATTCATCGTACAGCACTTGGAATGCTGTTATAATTCTTTCAGGAATTTCCCCAATGGCCAGTTTCTGGATATTCAGGAAACTAATGAGATATACACATAGCAAATAGTCTAATTTGAAAAGTAAGAGCTTCTATACTTACAATTCTCAGGGAATGAGTATCTCTCTTTATGACCTTTATAGGATTTGGGTTAATTGCATTACTAACTAATGAAGGACTTTTCCCCACGCTTTCAACATTGCCACCTAATAAAGGAGGACCTTTTACCAGCAGCTCATCTTTTAGAATTTGACCCCTAGATCCAAAGACTTTTCTCGCCTCCCATATGTCAACCTAATAAAGAGAACATGAATCAGGAACCAGATGCCTTGAAGAAATATTGAGGTTTAAGAAAAGACCGAGAACTTGAGACTGTACTTGTTGCAAACTACTTGTCTAAAAAAGATTAATGACCTCACGTCCTAAACCCTTCATATTTCATTTGAACAAGTGAAATTATATATTATGAAGTACAACAATGGATAGTATTTCTCCGAGATATTCATTTGGTTTCTCTAGCGAGAATCCTAAGAATAAATATAAAGCTCGCCAGGATTTATGCCTAAGCTGATATACCGATGCATATAACAAAGAGAACAACACAGACCACAAATGTTGATGATTGATTTCATGAAGTTAAGTTTCTGACCTTGCACTACACGTAAAGCTTATGGACAAGACCATATACCCTCTCCATTGTCAAACAGATATACTAGCACCCCGAATATAAAGGTGAATATGTCAGGCAATAAGAGAGCGAATTGGAAAAGGTGAAAACTTAATAGAGTTCTAAAGGTGATAAGTTAATGCACATTTCGTGAGACAGGCAAAAAAGGAAAGTGAGGCTGAATATGGAACAGTATAACAATAATATCCCAAAATGTTTATGCAAAAAGCCATTGATAGATAGAATAAGAACATAAGTAACTTATAGTCTGAATCCCAAGACCATCTTGAGGAGTAGCATTAATGAACTACAGGGTATATAATACTACGTACTAGAGACTAAGGTTGTCATGGCGCCTTGGCAAGTGGTGGCGCCAGTGGACTGCCTTATTGCCTAGGTGACAAGTTGTACAATTACCAATGTTTATCGTGATATTAATGGTATAAGTCATCATCATCATTACCCCAGTGCTGCAAAGGCTCCCACCTACGGTGGGGTAGGGGGGCGGATGTACGCAGTCTTACCCCTGTACGAAAGCACGGAGAGACTGTTTCCGGATGACCCATAGTGAAAATCACGTCAAATTGCATGGACCGACTGCTGCTTCATAACAAAGAAGCGCAAACAGTTTAGTGAGCCATTTTGGTTTATTCCATCATATTCCCAAGTCAAAAAAATAGTTAGTCTTTGGCTCCATTGCAAATGATGGAAATGATATTAATAGTATAAGTATTACTAATCAAATTATATCAGTTTAATTTAAATCAAACCAAGAATATAATAGTCCAAAACAAGATTTTAATGACTCAAGGCATGCATTAAATGAATTTGCAAACACAAAATCAGAAACAGGTTTGTGGTTAGATTTGAAATTGTTAAGTAATAATTAATTAATTAGAAGTAAAGTGAAGGGAAAACTGGGAGAAAAGGAATCTTACAATCCCAAATAATACTACATAATAAACTTAGATTAAACTGGAGCCCTGAAACAAAACAAAAAAATATGCACAGCCTGTGACTAGCTGACTACAATGGAGCGATGGTTAGTGCAGAGCTGCATGACCTAGGCATGGCAATGTGTCAGGGCAGGCCGGGTAGTGCAGTACCCAGACACGCCCCGTGACCCGCACGGGTCATTATATGTTGGCCCATGACCCGCCCCGCCCCGCAATAATCTAATACGGAGTAGCTAGTAAATATTTCTAGTTTTTAAAGTCATTATAGCTTGAATTGTACATCAAGTTTCTCTTCAAATAATTATAAGAAACAAATATGATAAATCAAAGTCACAATACAATAAAAAGTTTCAAAAGTTAAGAAAAATAATAGACTTAAATAGTTAACTATTTATTTATGAATAAATGAATATTTAAATGCTAAATATAAAAAAACAAATTGACAATTATCCTTTTTATCTGGTTCAAAATATAAATATTAATATATTTAAAGATCAAGGAATTTACTAATTACTACCCAACCATATATATATATATACATATATGTGTGTATTTGTAGTATAATTTAAAATAAGATATGTATTTATATATGGAGCGGGTCGGGTTGGGGCGGGTCAGGGTGGCACAGGTCAATACTAATACCCGGACTGTTAGAGAGCGGGAGGCAGTTGGGCCGAGGCTCCAAGAGGAGGCAACTGGGCCGCTCCTTCAGGAGGACGGGCCTCACCCATTATTGGTTTACCGTCGCCGCCAGCGGGCCTAGATGGGATGGATTGACGGCTGGGTTTTATTACTTTATATCATTCAATTGTTAGTTCTAATAAACTGTTAGGCCTAGATGGGCATATTTTATTATTAGGTTACTGGGCCTAGATGGCCATATTTTATTATTAGGTTAAGGAGTATCTAAGGAGGTGTGATCTTGTGAACTAGGAGGGATTAATGAGAATAAGGATTTGGTTTGAGTCTAAGGCTGGGCCAGACGTTAATATCGTCTGCTAGGGTTTTCTGCTTCTATCAATTTGGTCCGACCTGCTGGATTTCCATTCACCGCCCTATTACTCACCATGACTCGTTCTACCATTGATCATCGCATCGATGCGATAGAGGCAGATCAGCGAGAAATTGGGGCGGAAGTGCACTCCACAAACGCCAAGTTAGATGCTATCACCGCAATATTGGACAAACTGACGCAGAAGGTTATTGCCACAGACGAACCGCCGATTAATTCCAATTCAGGAGGGGGAGGCACGGCTGACTCAGTGGGCGAAACACAAACCCCCCACAACCCAGGGACTGTGAACGCGCCATTAACGCTACCAGCTTTTGAGGGGACAGACCCGATAGGGTGGCTCGCCAGGGCTAACCAACAGTTTGAAATCCACCACACCCGGCCCGAGTTGAGGGTGGCGTCTGCCATGGTAGCCATGGAGGGACCGGCTCTGTACTGGTTTTCATGGACACGATCGCGGAGACCGGACATATCCTGGGAGGAGTTTGATAGACCACTGAAGACTTATTCCCGCAGGAAGAAACTGCTCCTGGGAAGCAGTTGACATTGTGGCTATTTTTCAGTCATTAGTGGAGGTGGTTATGGGCATAACCTGTAACCCACTACTCTATTGCTATATAGTTATTATAAATACTTCCTGTTAGCTACGTACTACATAGTTCAGAATTTATAAGCATTATCAGATTGTAAGGAGCCTTGTCCTCTCCACACGGACTAAAACATTTGGGAAATTTATTCAGATTCTGTGAATTTCTCAACCATCCTTCTCTATCCCCCTTTAATCTCGACTGGTCTTATCATTTTGGTATCAGAGAGGTTAGATCCTAATGGTTTCCACCAGGTCGCAGGCGGATCAACACAACCAATCAGCAAATTCCCCTGTTGAACCCAACCTCGATGTGATTCAACAGTTAACTTCGATTGCTTCACGGTTGCAAACTCTTGACACCTTGGCAGCTGATGTGGCGGCTCTCAAATCCCAACGTAGTGACAGCCAGCCTGGAGGGTCGGGCAGAAGCAAGGAGAAAGAAAGTCACGCAGGATTCCATGAGAGAACACGAGTGCCGTGGGGGGATATCGCAGATGAAGAGATGCAGCCGGGGTGGCCACAAAACTTCACGCGCAGACCCAATGCGAAGGTGGATTTTCCAAAATTTGATGGTGGCGACCCGCGAGGTTGGATCCTCAAAGCGGAAAAATACTTCCGTTATTATCAGGTGCCGGACAATCAAAAAGTTGAAATCGCTTCCATGTCTTTGGAGGGCGAAGCTCTTGACGTGTTCGCATGGATGAAAGGTGAGGAATCCATACTATATTGGGAAGAATTGGTGAAATTATTGCAAGAAAATTTTGGGCCAACAGAATTCCAGAACCCAGATGAATATTTGTGCAATATCAGACAATCGGCGTTCCATCCAAGAATACAGGCAAGAGTTTTCACGAAGGGTGTCCAGGGTCCACGATTGGCCTGAACACTGCCTTCTTGGGGTTTTTATTAACGGCATGAAAGAAGACCTAAAAGCAGATGTCAGGATTCATAAGCCCAGGCCATGAGTCTCGCACTACAGTTTGAATCCAAACTCGGCCCAAATAAAGGTCCAAGCAAACCACCTTACCTCTCAAACAACAGGCCAGGTCAACCCACACCTCTGACTCAGCATCGTGACACCAAAGCAGCGACACTTTCGCCACAAGGAGGTTATACTACAACAGCCGGCCACAGTGCGACAACTGCCCCGGTAACGGCAAACCGATCTTGGGAATCAGAACAACAACTCCGACGCGACAAGGGGCTCTGTTTTCAGTGTAACGAAAAATTTGGCCCCGGGCATAGATGCAAGACTCCTACTTTTTCTCTGTTGGAGCTCACGGACAGCAGGGAGGAGGTGAAACAGGAAGAAGAGGTTGGCAGTGAACTGAGTGGAGAAGAGAACCTGCACGACATGGCCGAAATATCTTTCCATGCTATTCTTGGAAAGTCGACAGGCGCCACCATGAAACTTCGGGGATCCCTCTTAAACAGGCAAGTCCTAATCCTCATTGATAGTGGTTCTACACATAATTTCATCTCAACATCACTGGTTGAGGAATTGGGGATCAAAGAAGAGGGGGTTTCGACTTTCGGCGTTGAGATCGGGAATGGAGATGTAATCAGGTGCAATAAAATCTGCCGTGATGTTTCGGTTACCTTACCGGGACTGAAGATTACACAAGATTATTTCCCTTTCTCACTCGGAGGAGCGGATGTTGTGTTGGGGATAAAGTGGTTGGCTTCACTGAATACTGTGCAGGCCAATTGGAAGGAGATGTTTATGATTTTCTACCTAAATGGGAAGAGGTACAAACTGCAAGGGATTCCCTCTACCAGCAAACAAGAGGTATCACTCCAAATTCTCTCCAGGGTACAAATGGATTCTGGAAACACATCTGCTCCAACCCAGGTTCAGTCCCTTTTATCCGAATTTCAGGACATTTTTTCCGATGTTACCACTTTACCACCTTTTCGCACCCAAACTCATTCCATTCATCTATATCCAAATTCTGTTCCCCCAAATATTAGACCATACCGATACACTTCTGACCAGAAAACAGAGATTGATAACCATGTAGAGACCTTACTGGCCACAGGGTTCATTCAGCCCAGCACCAGCCCTTTTGC